ACAGCAGGATCATGTGTGGGATGATTGTCCTCTGAAGGGATGGAGAAGCTGGCTGGAGTTGATTGGAAGCTGAAAGGAGCTAAAAACAGGAGATTCATGAAAGAAATCCTGTTGGATCAAATAACTTGAGGGTAGGACACTGGTTATTGCTCCAGCTGGGGAATTACTCTAAAAATAGTAAAAACTGAAGGCTTTAACCTACAGAATATTTGGCTGTTAAAAGGTTTCAGTTAAAGTCCAGACCTAAAATCAAACTGAGAATCTGTGGCAAGACTTGGAAACTGAGGTTTAGAGGCGCTTTCCATTCTATATGGATGGAAAGTTTGTTTAAAAGTTGCAGTATAGCAGATCTGTGGAGACAGCACTATTCTGCAGTATTTAACTGTGTAAAAAGTGAATCCTGTGGTTTGGGAAACATTGCTAAGAGTGATGCAGCTGTAATAACCTCTTGTGAAGTCCAGCAGGCTATAGCCTACCTGGGTGAGAATCAAGCAACAGGATCTGATGGCATTATAGCAGAACATCTGAAATATGCTAGCCAAAAAGTGGCTGTGTTGCTTGCAATGTGTTTCTCTGAGTTTATGACCCATGGGCAGTTGCCTGATTCCTTTATTCCTTAGCCAGTGTGATATCTAAAGTATTAGAAAAAACCATGCTTACTCAATCAGTTTATTCATACATCAATTTGGTTTCAAAGCATGGAACCAATTTCTATATTTATGAAAAAATTGAGTTTATTATAGAAGCCCGTTTAAGCCACATGAAGAAAAAAAAAAAAAAAGCCAAATAGAAAGTAATAATTACCGGATTCAAAGTTTGAAAGTCGAATATCTCATCATTTTAACTTTAAAATTCGAAATTATGAATTTGTATCTCATAATTATGACTGTATATTTGGCATTTTTTTTAGTTTCATGTGGCGGAAATTAGCTTCCATAGTTTATTGCCTCTAGGCCTTTGATCGTGTCAATCCCTACCAGTTATTTGACAAATTAAAACAGAGAGGTGTTCCAAATATTATGTAAAGTTTAGTTTACTGGTACTCTAACCAGAAAATGCATGTAAAATGGGGCAATACCACCGCTGCTTCCTTTGGTTTGAGTAGTGGTGTGCATCAGGGTGGGCTTCTCTCACCTGCCTTGTTTAACTAGTACATTGATGACCTGTAAAAAGAAATGAACCTCTGTAAAAATGCATGATTCGGTCAATCACTTTATGTATGCTGCTGAGCTGGCTCTTCTCTCACCCAGCAGTGCTGGTTTTCACCAGTTCCTGAATATCTACTCTGATTATGGGTTAAGATTTGATATGCAGTATAATGCAAAGAAACTGTACTAGAATGTAGGACTAAAGCAGACAAACTATTTTGTTTCCCTGATTTTTTTTTTTTTTTTTTT